ATAAACTATATTTTTAAAATATATATAAATTTTTAAATTTTAAAAAACTTAAAATTAAAAAAATTAATACCAAGCCCTGGAGCAATGCCCAGGTCTGAAAGCTAGTTCCAATGATTAATAACTGATTTTTGGTAAAATTGAATGAAATATTAATACAACAAAATAATCTTAAAAATAGTTCTGGTAAGTATTCAGGTTTTTGATTTTGAACTTCTTTACAAAAACTTTGCATTTTGTAACAAAATTGTTAAGAATTTGTTACTATATAATTACATAATTGTTACAATTTTGTTACAACCAATTTTTTAATATATAAACACTATTTCATTTCAATATCATATCAAAATTGCAAAAAAATTGAATAAAAATTATATTTATATTGTTACAATATCTTATTAAAATATATTAACAATTTGAATTTAAAGTTATATTAATATTGTTTTAATATTGTCACAATTTTGTTAAGAAATTATAATTATATTAATACAACATCATTAATTAAATTGTTATAAAATAGCAACAATTTTGTTATAATCTTTTTACAATATTAAATAAATTTTGTATTAACTTTTTAACATCTTGTAAATAAATTTGTTTATGAATTTGAAAATCAACTATATAACAATTAGGTGGCAATTAACAATAAAGTAAGTGTCAACTCTTAAAATATCTAGTTTGTTATAAAAAGTTAACATAATCAAAAAAAATTTTGAAATAGAATAACACAAATAATGAATCAAAACATACTAGTACAAAATAAATTGATAAGATCGCAAAATAAGCACCAAGCAATTTCTCACCAAAACTGTTATATATAATATAATACTGAATACTCATTTTTAACTTCCTTTAAACAATTCAAGTGCCTATTATACAATAAAATTTTTTGGAATTTTATAAATTTTAATTTTTTATATTCAATGATTTTTAACATTTATTATATTCATCTTTTATTAGTTTTTGCTGCTTTATACAGTTTCGTTAGTTTTGTCAGTTTTATCACTTTTCATCAGTTATGTTAGTTTTGTCACTTTTTGTCAATTTCGTAATTTCATCATTTAAAATTTTAATTGATAAAAAACAAAACTAGGTTTTGTATTTTGTTAGCACGAAACCTCAAGGTTTTGTCTAAAAACTATAATACTATCTTAGATCTGTAACTATTAACATTATTGGAGTCTTCGATTGCTCATATAATTAGACTCTAGATTACTTACAAGAACTGTTAGAGAATTATTAAAGTTTTGCAATTAGTGATTACTTATTTTGAAATTATCAAAGTTCTCTTTATTTGAGTTTTCTTCTAAACATAACTTTTATTACATGTAATAAAATAATGGGAGCTCTAATGATTGTTAGTTTAACTATTCTATAAATTCTTAGCATTCCCCTATTTCATGAATTGCCGCCATTCTTTGAATACTTCAGAATTCCTTAAATTACAAAAATTCTGGGAATAAGAATTCATATCACATTGAAACTGCAATACTTTCTGCCTTACTTGTACCCAAAATCGATGAATCTTCAGAATTTCTACATAGTTGATATAAATTAGTTCGAAAGTACACTTGTGGAGGTGTCATACCAATAATTTTAAAAAGTCTTACATGTCAAATCAACTTACTTGTTACTTTTATTGACAAATTGTTTCTGCTATTCAATTAAATACTTTATAACAATTGCCTGTTTCATAAGATATATTGCTTTTGTTAATTTTGAAACATCATGATAATGTACGTTGAGCTCGTCTGACTTTTCTTTATAGTATACATTTGTATTGTCTTATTATACATACGTACATACTGTTTATCTAAAGCAACTATTTATTACGTATATAATACTTTATTACTAATACTTCTAGATCTTGAACTCCACAAATCACATAAGGTTTTGCAAGAAGAAAACCGATAATCAAGCCTTTCGTTATAAATCAAACATATAAAGATGTGACTTATAGGATTTTCTTTGATTACTCATATTTTTCTAGGTATTACCAGTAACGTTTTCAGTTAAATATGTTGAAAAAATATGAGCTGAACTGGGCCAAGGCCCTCCAAACTCCCAAATTAATTAATAGAAAGTCAGAAAATAGAAAATCACTTTTTCTTATGTGTGCAAAATATAATATTTATAGTACTTATATGGGTTCGACAGCTTTAATATAATGGAAATTTTATATTATAAAGTCGCACCCTCACATAATCTTATGAGAAATGTCAAGTCAATAGTTTTTTTTTAGAATTTATACGAATTAATAAAGCGGTACAATATTTAGATATAAATTAGATATATTACAGTATTTGAATATCGATACTATATATTGTAAACTAGATGCATTATGAAATATTACAATTGCTCAATATATAAATTATTTTGAAAATAAGTATAATCAAATGACTATGATGAAAGTAAAGATAAATATATTACAAATATAAATTGCTAGCTAAGTTTTTCCTGTTCCGTGATGGTACTGTGATACCCTTTGTCAAATTATTTAAAGTTTTTGTCCTTTCGATGTCTCTTGATGAGTAATTAATAGTAAATACATGCTAGATCAATTTATATAAATGGTATATAGAATTTTGTGCCTTTAATTCATCCATATTAGTTGCATTTAACCACCGACCTAGCACCTTTTCAGTTGCAGACTCGTTTACAAAAATAATAATTTCTTCTTTTTGCAAGAGGCCTGTCACAGATCTATAGTTAATCAAAGAATATTAATAAATGTGAAATAAGACAATGTACTATATAAAATACTAAATTACCATATTTGTTTGAAAATTTTAATTAAATCTATGACACCATTGACTAATTTATTTCGGAAATCACCAAAGTTCCTAGTTGCTATATGAAGCTACTCGATGCCTTCAGCAGAATTAAGTTCACACTTGAAGATTTTCAGCACCAACTCCTCAAACATACTCTTCTTAGAATTCTGAATACGAAGAAAGAAGCATTTCAGTTCTTCTAGAAAATCACAACAGGCTTTTGTCTTATTCTCTCAAGGTTGCAGCATAGCTAATGACTCAGATGAGGTTGAAGGCGTAAGCTATAATCTTTCTATTACTGGTGCTTGTATTGATAGATTCATATTATTTGCTAGTTGCAAAATATTGGAATTCTTGTACAACCAAGAACAAAGTTGATAAATCGTCATTTTATTAAAGGGCGAAGGAACAACATTATTAGTTGTATCAAAATGAATAGTTGAATTATTCATTATTATTCATCTGAATGTTCATTATATTATCACCTGACTCCAAAGGAGATATTGGTCTTGATCTTAAAGTTTTATTTAGAGAAATATAGTCAATTTGACTATTTGTTCTTGAATCTGAAACTGTTGTCAGTTTGATCCTTGATGTTCTATCAAAAATATCCAATTTGTTTCTTGGTTCTGAATTAGAAATCGATATTGGTCTTGAAGATGCTATTCTGTTCAAAGAAATAATATCATTTTGAATTTGATTATTGCTTCTTGAGTTAAACGTCGACTTTATTTGATTATTAGATTCTGTTTCTAGCGGTGATATTGGCCTTAAGGGGATAGTTGCAAAGTCTTGAGCTACAGACTCATCATTGTTAAAACTATCACTATCATTAAAACTTTCGTCATTATCACCATCATTAGAAATATTGCTATCAGAAAGAATACTATTATTATCATTATCGTTATTAGGAACACCATCTTTTAAAAGTTCAGTGATTATTTGTGATGTTTGAGATGCAACCATTTTATGCTTTTTTTTGTGCCTCCTTTTATTTTTACTTTGTGTATTATTGTCATAGTTATTTAGGGGTAAAGGCATATCTATTTCTTCTTGTTGCTTCTTTTTGTGACCTCTTTTAGTGCTTGTACTTTGCGAAATAGTAGTATCATTTAAAAGATTATTAAGATCATCTGAAGGTGAAACAACTGCTTGTTTCTTGTGACCTCTTTTATTTGGTTTATTTGTGCTTATTTTTTCGGTTGTGTATTTTTTGCATTTCTGGAACTCATTGTAAAGTAAAATAATGAGGAAAAATAAAACAATGGGTTAATCAGTAAAATAAAGAGAATAAATGTAAAGACAATATAATGATAATAATTTGATTAATTAAATTTTTACTTTTATACAATCAACCAATAAGGTTATGATAAAAAAAAATAATTAAATAATTAAGTAATTTGATTATTATTTGTTATGCAATCAGGTTATAACAAAAAAGCAAGCAAAAATTAAAAAAAATGCCCACTTTAGAAATTAAGAATAAGTAATTTTACATCTAATTTACATAAGTGTGCATACCTAACTATAAGAATTTTACCAAACTTGTCAAATTTGTTGCTTTTACTTATATATATGGCCTTATTACCAATTTAAATATTGATATATTTAGCATTATAGATTTTCGATTTCTGATCAATTACAGATTCACGTGAAGCTATTGCTATATATATAGAACAATAAGCTTTATTTCAAAGACTCTTTTTCATGATGTTTCGCAGTCGGTACACTTTCTATAAAAGGTGTCAAACATATATAAGAAATCTACACGATATACTTAATACGCTATTGAACTCTAAAGAACATGCTAATAAAGAGACTAATTATGAAAAGACGAATGATCATGAGATACCAAATGATGATTTAATACCAGATGACAATAAATTATTTAGAGATGAAGAAATAAATTATAGAAGTTTTTTCGAAGATAAAATATTGGATAAAGAAGAAATGTCTGTGGATTATAGTAACGAAGTGTCAAGTAAAGAGGAGTTAGATTTTTCTGATGATAAAATATTGGACGATAAAGAAATGCTGATAGATTATAACAGCGAAGTATCAAATGAAGAATCTGATAAGAATATATTAGACAATGATGAAATACTGGCAGATTATAATAATGAAGTGCCAAAAAAATCTGATAAAGTTGTTGATAAAATATTAGATATTGAGCAAATGCCATCTGTTAATAGTGAATTTGCTCTGTATTTCAAAAATATCACTGAGACATTGATGTTTTTTTGGATTCAAAAGCATAAAATATGTAAAGAAATTTATTTTGTTATTAACAAAATTATAAAATTTAAATTGAAATTTGTTGTATATATTTAATAGCCACTCAAGCTTATGACAAATTAGTAGATATAATTCACCACTCACAGTTTAAAAATAAAGATATCGTAACAAATATTCGTCAGTTTAGAAAGTATCAGCAAAGATTACCTTTACTTCCAATCAGAACAAGAAATATTTATATTTTAAATAAGAAAATGCTATCTATTTCCAAAGATATTAAAGAAATGTATTATCTATCTATCACTGATATCATTTGGCATTCTTTAAATAATCTTTCATTGTTTGACCAAATGTATTTCAGACCAGGTCAGAAAGTCATAAAGAACAAAGAACTTTGGCATGGAAATATATAGAAAGAATCTTCATGGTTTGGGCAAGTATCTATAAAATTAATAGATATATGTTATTTATTGCATATTTATATTGTATGAAACTCAGATATAATAAAGCATTAGTACTAAAAAACATGTTCATTTTATTAATATGATTTATAATTTTTAGCAGTATACAGTTGTGGAGAGTTCATAGTTTATAGAGAATCAGTAGCAAAAAATAAATTTGGCTAAATTTTATCGATAGTGAATATAGATGACAAGCTCAAAGCAACAGTTTAACGTGTTTTAACATTCAATGAGCTACTATATAATCTACAGAGTAATAGTCAAAGAGAAAGGTCTCGTAATGAGCTATGGTTATTAGATTGAGAAATGGATAATTTAGTCATAATTATTGAATTGCAGAACATTGTCAAAGTCGCTCCAATTGTCATCCTTTACAATGAACATAATGTTAATATATTGTCCTCTTTAACCTCAATTTTTATTTATGAAATTCTTTACAAATATCAGGGACATTGGAAGTTAAGAAGCATCAAATATTCATATAAACACTCTTCAGAATTTTCTGCTTTAAAAATACCAGAAACGAACCTTCCAATTTATAAGTTGTATATTGACCTTTACTACAATGATTTTGGAACGTTCTGTAACGTTTACCATTCACTTAAAGATATTTACATCCAAATCAGAAATTTACCTTTTAACAAAAGGAAACAACTTAAAAATCATTTTGTGATTGGGTTTGTTTCATTCAGGGGTCATTTCAATGATTTATCAGGCCTTTTGTTGATGAAATAAAGGAGCTAGAAAAAAGAATAATAATGGATGTGCAAAAAAATAAAAGCCTTGTTATTGCAAGTCTCAGGGATGTGACAGCTGATTTGCTTTAAGGAAACGACTTGGCTGGAGTTAAAAGGCACGGTGTCATAAAAGGTTGTTGTACTTGCAATGTAGCAAGAGATTTTTGAACCTCTGAAGGTTTTGATTTATTACTGGTTTTCTATTATCACCATATTACTGATAAGAGATATCTGCACTAACCACGATAAAAAGACCTAAAGAGCTTGCTACAAAATATGGATTGTGTTTACAGCCATCCTTGCTTGATAAGTTAAAGAGAGAAAGACATCTTCAGTCTCTACAAGATGTCTATCATCTTACAGCCAGCAAAGTACTGAGGTTTTTTAAGATAACAATTAAAGCACTTTCAACAGAAGAGAAATCGATATTCATAATGTTTTGGAAGTCTTTTGAATATTCAAAAATGTGACAAAAGTTGCCGAATCCGATCTCACATCTTCACAGTTTTATAATATCAGATGGTTTAAGCTTGGCTATGATGATACCATTTATTCTTAATAGATTTTTAAACCCTTCACATTTCAAAAATTCAGAATTTACTACATTTCAGCAATGAACTAGAGTTTTACAAAGCGATTTAGCTGCAAAACTTTGGCTGAAATGTTGGGTATTGATGGCAAAAACAATGACAATTGCATTTAAAAAATTCTTTACAGATGCTGATTATATTGAATTGCGTAAATGTTTAGATAATAAAAGAAATTTATTTTCACAGATAATTAAAATATTAATAGTATTACGTCTCCCAGTGTCTCTCGCTAGAAGGTTAAAAAAAAAATTTATAAACATTCATTAATACTAGGCATTCAAGGATTTTGAAAACCTTCTGAATTTACATGTTAGTTTTTATTTAGTATAGCATGCAAGAAACTATGCTACCTTATTAAATACAAGTATAAAAACCAAAGAAATAGTATACCACATATTTAAAAATGTGGTATCACGATCAAATTAGAAAAATGTAGACCTCAACTTATTAATACGATATACTACATTATTTGCAGTACGCTATTTTTTTGATAGTAGTATTGACAAACGCTTTCCTTTTACAAATCATATTTTAATGAATCTTCCACATCAATTTAAGCATTTAATGGATGATTGGTTCATTATCGAAAAATCCTTTGATCCTGAAGCTATAAGTGAAAGTTTGATTAAATGAATTTTAGTAATCTTACATATTATTTCTTCATTAAATAAATATGTTTCAAATGTAATTTTGAAGAAGTGTATACTAACAAAAAAAGTTGAAAGTTTACTGAATGATTCCGATTTCCGTAGAGAACTAGCATCAGTATATCAAGAAATAGATTATAAATTGACATTCTTTGAAATTTCATGTTGCTATTATGAGCTCGCTTGTTTTTCTGTGGAGGGTGAAATTAATGCATATTATTATCTGCGTGTTGGTGATATTGTAACTATAATTTCTAAGGAAGGGGCGAAAGTTTTGCAATTCTAAGGGCAAGTTTTAGCTATAAAAGAGATAATCAACATTTTGCTTTTATTATTATTGATAGATATGAAATTACCAATCAAACGAA